CTTGGAGATATTTCCAGAAATACAGTAAAATTCCGCGTATAAGAACCTAAAAATTTAAAGGAGCTCAGTCACGGTATTTCGAGTTATTTTGGCCACGAACAAAATTACCTTTAAATTGAAGGAAACCTGAAAATAGTAGTTTACCAAGTTAGAAAAATACCTAAGAAAAAATACATAACCATAAAGGTACAAGGATGGTTAAGGATGGAGAAGATTGGCACGGATTACAAACGAGAAACTTGAGAGATTTAGGCCAAACTTTTCAAGATGCGCAATCCGTGAAGTAGCTTCTTTAAGAACCTGTTAGGTTAAAATTTCCTAGTTAGGCACACTTCACATAAGAATCATTCTAGGCTAAAATCTCAATAGAGCTTGTTATTTTCAAAATATAGAGGGTTGTTTTTCAAATGTAATAGAGTACGTCACAAGCGATACAAAGAAAGGTAACAAAAACTAGCCAGAACACTGGCAGTGTTGGAAGATCTCAATGCTGTCCTGTGAATGATTCAATCTAAAGGCCATATCCATGAGTACAAGTTTTTGTTCTTTTAACAAATTAAGAACCTGATTAAGAACCTAGGCAGCCTCATTCACGCAGTAAACGCCATTTATATAAGAACCTATGCTGGCTAACTTGACAAAACCTAGGTTCTTATTCGCGGTATTTTACTGTACTGGCAGTCGTAACAAAATATAAATAAACTACAATAAAAAGCTTGGAGACACAAACACAAATCAAATCTATGCCGGTAAGTCGAAGAAGAGAGGCCCCTCAAATCTAACTGACAAAAGTATTAAGAATTTGACAATATATGTAAAAACATTAAACGAGGATAAGTCCCATAAAATACAACGAAAGAGAACAAAATTACAGCGTTGAGCACAAACAAAATTTATAGAAGTACATTTCGGGACACAAGGAAAACTGAATTGGGGAATGAGCGATATAAAATAACTACGTCTTGTTTAAAGATTTCTTGTTTTAAATTCGTCAGCCTATAGGTTGGGGCTTATTTAAAGACGTAATGGCGAAGAATCAAAGGGTGTGATTTCCCGATTTCTGTTCCCCGTGTGAGCATCTCCTGTTACACAATGGAGTTCAGCTAAGCTTGTGAAATAAATTCCCGTGTCAGCGAGATATGTTCCATTAACAGAACGAGAAGTGATCTGTACATTAGCCCACAATAAATATAGCTTTTACTTTCCAGCTTTCTTTCGAAAACCAATACTCCATTTTCTTTTTTTTTGAATTTGCACTTGAATTCGTTTTTTTTCATAATCCTTCGATTTTGTCTTTACCAGGACTCCGCGACTACAAAAACATCGGTACTAGTCCATTGAAGGAAGTGCGAAGACATGACCGCGCAGGGCCTGGGAGGAACCATACATTATCTTGACTTTGTTTTCTTGAGCCTCTCCAAGTCAAATCTTTCCATGAGCTCGGCTTGTACTTGTTGTGAAGCGGCCATGTATTTACAGTATTCCATAGCGAATTCTCCTTTACCCTGTGAAAATAGATGCCCCAAAAATCGATTTTAAGTCAACGTAAAATGTAGTCTTCGCGCTGGTATCGCTTTATCAAGATTTACCGAGTTACATTTAAAAATCAATCAATCAATCAAATCAATCAATCAATCAATCAATCAATCAATCAATCAATCAA